GCGCGGGGTAGTGTGGCCTTGGAGCCGGACCATTAGCAACTTTTAATTTGGCCCAACAACGCTTTCATAACCTTCCTTCTCTTTTCTCTTTTTTTCTCAGCTCACCTCGTGATATTGTTGTTTTTCTGCTCGGCACGCGCCCATTACGCCCCGCTGAGCCATGAGGGGGCGCCGGTCCCGTGAGGCTGTGTGTGTGTGGGAGGGGCCCCTATGTCACCCGGCTGCATTCCCCGTGCCCCCCGGGGGGTGGGGGGAGCGCCGCCCCCCGGGCCCAGCTGAGGCCCCGCGGTGGGGGAGGACGATCTTTCCACATTACCGCCGCCCGATCCGTCTTTGCCGCTCATTGCTGCCCGCTGCCCGCGAGTCACATGAGGCGCGGCGCCGGTCCCACCCGCCGCGCGAACACACTCTTTTCCTTTCGTGACAGTGTAGTCATGAGTCAAGAAGCGGGGTGTGATGGGCGGCGGGCGGCGGGCGGCGCCCCGTCCGACGGTACGACTCTGCCCCCGTGGATATGACACTAGATAGGTTATTTTTGGTTAGTTCGGCGGAACTTCGCCACACCCCCTGCGCGCGCCGCCACGTCGTCTTTATTCGCAATCGCTGCGCTGTTCCCCTCTTCGCGCACGAGTGAGACACCAAAACACGCACAGATATGTCCTGCTCCCACTCTGAAAATCGTCCAAGTCGTTTGCGTGCGCTTTCTCCCTTTCCATCACTTGCGCTCTGTGATTGGCGTTTCCGAATGCCGAATCGAATCCCCACTTCTGCGCTCACGACCGACGCGCTCACGCCCCCCACGCTCACACGCCCACGCCCCTCACGCCCCTCACGCGCTCACGCCCCTGCCCCTCTTACCCTACCCGCTCACGTGCTTTTGGCCCTCACTCGCCCGCCCCTCACGCTCACGCGCTCACGCCCCTCACGCTCACGCGCTCATCCGGCCTGCCGGCGCGCTCACGCTCACGTGCCCGTGGCCGCGATGAGTGTGGGCGGAGGGTCGCGTGATTGTTTCGTAGCGGCCAACTTCTGTCGTAACTCGGCGGAGAGCACGGCGTCACCGAGCAAACACGGGGTGCACTTGCTGCTGCCCGGCAGACACACGGCCCCCATTACTGCGAATCTAAAACACATTCTTCGCAGCATAAATCGTTTATCCCGAATTCTGAGACGTGTCTTTTAAGTCTGCAAACTGATTTCGAAGAGCGTTCAAGGGGAGCTACCCCATGAGTGCGACAAGAATGGAGCTATCCGGGAGGTAGGAGAGCACTCTTCGGAATCAGTCGGCTGGAGCAGCGGGTCCGATGAACACGATGTGATAAGGGTCTGTCTAGTGTGCAAGTCCCAATAAGGTGTCGCCCCGCCAATAAGGGGGCCATTGCCGCCCACTTTACTCATCACAGCCGAGTATTGGCACGACGACCTGGGGGGCGCCGCGCCGCAGCATACCCGACATTTTTTATTTGTTGTGCTCGGCACGGCGAGCCACACGGCTGCTTGCCAGGATAATGCCTTGTCACCCCCCTTTGTCCCCCCGCCCCCTCCCTCGGGGGTGTGGCGGTGCGGGGCGGGGCAGGGCGTGCCAGGGGCCCTTACCCTCTCTTGTTTTTAAATCGCGCGCGCCTGTCCCCTCGTGTTTGTCCGCCGTGAAGATGGAGACTTTGTCGTGGGCAGCTTTAGGGGCGCGCGCTGGCTAAACAGAGGTATGGATTTATGACTTGTCGGGCAGCACAATTCAATTTACAACGTTTTGTAGAAACTCGGAAAGAGAAACTAGCGGCGTCGACGTTGTAGACACCCTGCATCAGCGAGTGAATGTGTGTAAATATTTCTCGCCCTTTTCAAAAAAACAATTGAGATTTGCATTTTTCTTTTTACAGCGACTTGGATATCGACATAGAGGACAACGGTGACGGCACGTTCAGCCTGTACTACACGGTGAAGGACGCTGGCGACTACACTCTGAGCGTCAAGTTCGGCGGCCAGCCCGTCCCCGGCGGCTTCTATACGTTCACGGTAGGCACGACACTTGCTTCTTCTGCAGGAGGGGGAGGGGTGAGAGAAGCGGAGCTTCGGCGACCTCAACGCAAGGCAGAGGCGTGGAGGTGATAACGCCAATCAGTACTCGGAACGCGTGCCGCGATGAAGGTGCCAGCCACCCCACCCCTACAATGATCGCTTCATGGGGCGGCGTTCCCTGCCGGGCC